GGGATGAGGAGGAGAAATAATATAAGTATGAAAATGATGATGATTAGGAGGATGACGATGATGATGAGGAGGAGGAGGAGAAGGAGGATGTATATTATAAGGTTGATGACAGCGAGTATGGCGATTATTACTATGATGATGACGTTGTTGTTGATGATGAGGATGATGTTAATGACGATATTAAGTCGATGATGAAGATCATGATCATGATGACGATGATGATAATGAAGAGGAGGAAGAAGAAGAAGAAGGGTTTTTTGATGATAATGATGACGAATTTGAAGTTGACGTGGTTGATGATGATGATGATGATGATGTTGATGATGATGATGATGATGATGATGATGATGATGATGATGATGATGATGATGATGATGATGTGATGATGATGATGAGATGATGATGATGATGATGATGATGATGATGATGATGATGATGATGATGATGATGATGATGATGATGATGATGATGATGATGATGATGATGATGATGATGATGATGATGATGATGATGATGATGATGATGATGATGATGATGATGATGATGATGATGATGATGATGATGATGATGATGATGATGATGATGATGATGATGATGATGATGATGATGATGATGATGATGATGATGATGATGATGATGATGATGATGATGATGATGATGATGATGATGATGATGATGATGATGATGATGATGATGATGATGATGATGATGATGATGATGATGATGATGATGATGATGATGATGATGATGATGATGATGATGATGATGATGATGATGATGATGATGATGATGATGATGATGATGATGATGATGATGATGATGATGATGATGATGATGATGATGATGATGATGATGATGATGATGATGATGATGATGATGATGATGATGATGATGATGATGATGATGATGATGATGATGATGATGATGATGATGATGATGATGATGATGATGATGATGATGATGATGATGATGATGATGATGATGATGATGATGATGATGATGATGATGATGATGATGATGATGATGATGATGATGATGATGATGATGATGATGATGATGATGATGATGATGATGATGATGATGATGATGATGATGATGATGATGATGATGATGATGATGATGATGATGATGATGATGATGATGATGATGATGATGATGATGATGATGATGATGATGATGATGATGATGATGATGATGATGATGATGATGATGATGATGATGATGATGAAGATGATGATGATGATGATGATGATGATGATGATGATGATGATGATGATGATGATGATGATGATGATGATGATGATGATGATGATTGATGATGATGATGATGATGATGATGATGATGATGATGATGATGATGATGATGATGATGATGATGATGATGATGATTGATGATGATGATGATGATGATGTATCGACTCACGTCAAGCCGGACTTAACCGCCATCAATAATTACACAGCGCACATAATGGACGGGGCAATATGCGACACCTTAAGAATGACCCTTAGCTACCAAGCTAAGATCAACAAATACGGTGTAGTTGCCCATACGGAAGCCATAGTCCGGTTTATGGGCTCGGAATTCCCTACAGCATGAAATATCATGCATCATGTAATCATTATCAACATACGGGGCCATATATTACAGGAACCAACCAAGTACATTTCTGCACTGATAAACAAATTTTGACAGCCTACCTGTGCGTATCTACCATGAGATGATCCCATAAATTGTACAACACCTACATGCGGGGTACAATGTCACAAAACATCTTAAACTAACAATGCAAACCCAGATTTGCGAACAGTTTGACAGTTGGACGAGAAAGCTGAGAGCCGACGCTCGCGCGTTTACCACCAAGCGTGCTTGGGAAGGACTCTACGAGCGTGTTACCAGGGCCCAGCCGAAATCTGATCAGACACCAGGCGTGTTGCCAAGGCCAGACCGGAAGCTGATGAAATCACGCGTCAGACATCACGTGCGTTGCCATGCGCCGGGTAGGCGAACGAAGACTGTAGTACCCGAACAACACGGTGAATCGGACTGATGCAGCGGACAAGTAGGTGTGCAGCGTGGGCTTAGAGCCAAATCCGCCTGGTGATAGTGACATATAAATATGACCGTTCTTCGCCTTAATACAACTCTGGTCTGCTGAGTAGTCTTCTGTCTTCGTTCCGGTCGGGTTTGCCAAGGCGTCAATCAGAGCACGCGTGAGGGCGCAGATTTAGCAACAGGCGTGAATCAACCAGGCGAGAGCGAGCAGGCCGCACAGCGTTACAACAGTGGCGACGCGAGTACAACCGAACCCAGGCATGGCAGTTAGCTTTGAACAATTGTAAATGCTGTTGCAACAACAACAGGCGCAGTTTGAAGCATCCCAAACCAAGCCGATCGAGATGTTAACTCAGAAGATGACAGTGCAGTAAAGCCCAGGGTTAGCAACAAGTGAAGATGCCCGTCACCAGAAACACTGACTCAGCAGATCAGTGAGTTCCATTATGAAGCTGATGCTGGCCTAACATTTGTTTCTTGGTTCCACATGTATGAAGATATGTTCCGGGTTGATTTTGCCAACCTTACAGCAGAAAAGAAGATTCGACTAATGCTGCGGAAGCTGGGTGCTGCCGAACACGAGAAGTTCACCAATTTTATCTTACCCAAAAAGAGTACCGATTTGTCCTTCGACGAAGTGGTTGCAGTCCTGTCGCAGATTTTCGGAGAACAGACATCTTTGTTCAACATCCGGTACAAGTGTCTGACAATAACCAAAAAAGAAGACGAAGACTGGGTCGACTATTTCAGCCGTGTGAATCGAGAGTGCGAACGGTCACAACTACACAAGATGACAAGTGATCAGTTTAAATGTCTCATATACGTCTGTGGCCTACAAGCATCCAAAGACGCCGACATTCGAACACGAATACTGAACAAAATTGAGCAGAATCCGGATGTCACATTGCAGCAAGTGACCGGTGAGTGCCAACGCATGACGAATCTGAAACACGATACCGCAATGATCCAGCAGTTGTCCAACCAGAACGAGCAAGATTTTGTCTGTGCAGTCAACCGTACTCCCCGAAAAGCAGCTTCCCACGTGAATACAAAGGATTCTAAATCGCCCACTGCATGCTGGTTTTGTGGAGAGTGGCATTTTGCCCGCGAGTGTCCATTCAAAACGCACACTTGCAACCGTTGCGGCAGAAAAGGGCATAAGGAGTCGTGTTGCCTGGCGACTCGTCCAATTTTGACCAAGAAGATGCGTAACAATGCCAGACCGTTCCGGCGTCCCAATTTGACCAGATCTATCACCGCAACATTCAAGGTTGACGGGGCCAGCAAGCGCAAATACACAATTGTGAAAATCAACGGCTTCCAAGTCAAGTTACAAATTGACACGGCTTCTGATATCACCCTGATATCTCGAGACACTTGGTGCATGCTGGGGCGACCAACACTCATACAAACGGACCACACGGCACGGAATGCTTCAGTAGGTATGTTGAAATTGCTGGGTGAACTGAATTGTCAGGTAAACTTTAGCGATAAACAAATCCAGAAGACATGTTTCGTGACAGATCAGCCGGGGTTAGATTTGTTGGGGCTAGACTGGATGGATGAACTGAAACTGCTTGATCAATCAATGAACATTGTTTGTCAGCCACCGCAAGTCAATCTGCTGTCACAACCGTCACCTTCAAGCCCAATGTTTCAAATTCAGATTGCCGAGATAAAACGACGTCACGACGCATTGTTTCAACCTGGTCTCGGATGCTGCAACATAGCTACTGCCACATTGAACCTTAAACCAGACGCCAAACTAGTCTCTAGACCAAGACGGCCGGTGCCCTACGCAACCCAATCCTTAGTGGAAGCCGAGTAAAACCGACTACAATCTGAAGGGATAATCGAACGAGTACACTATTCCGATTGGGCAGCACCTATCGTGATGGTAAAGAAAGGAAACGGTAAAGTCCGTCTTTGTGCTGATTTCTCCACAGGTTTGAATTCTCTCTTGGAAGATCATCAGTATCCCCTGCCAGTAACCGAAGACTTGTTCAGCAAACTCAATGGGAGGAAATGTTTCGCAAAACTTGACCTAGCTGATGCGTATTTGCAAATCCCAGTTGCCCATCAGTGCGGAACATTGCTGACAATAAGTACCCACCTCGGACTTTTTCAGTACAACCTACTGCCGTTCGGAGTGAAAACCGCACCGGCCATTTTTCAGCAAATAATGGATACCCTGCTGCGATATCCCAAATACAGCAGTATACCTAGACGATGCGTTGATTATGAGCTAGGATCCGCAAGATTTGATACAGACACTGGAGAGAGTGCTTTCGCGTCTTCAGGAAGCTGGATTCCGATTACGGGCTGAAGAATGTGAGTTCCTATTAGAAAGTGTTAAATTTCTTGGGTTCGTCATCGACAAACATGGTCGGCGTCCGGATCCCGCCAATATTGAAGCCATCAAAAAGATGAAGCTACCAGAAGACATTGCAGAGCTCCGCTTGTTTCTTGGGCTAGTTAGCCATTACAGCGCTTTCCTACCAAGCCTTCATCAAACCAGCGGTCCGCTGAACCAGCTACTAACAAAAGATAAGGATTGGAAATGGACGAAGGAGTGCCAGCAGTCTTTTGATGCAGTCAAAGCAGCTCTCACCTCTGATCTACTCTTGACTCATTTTAATCCGAATTTAAAATTGTCGTCGCTACGGATGCTTCCAAGTATGGTGTCGGTGCAGTTATTTCCCATGTTTTTCCGCATGGAGGAGAGAAGGCTATCGCGCACGCAGCACGATCACTAACGCCAGCTAAAAAGAACTATAGCCAGATAGAGAAGGAAGCGCTCGCGATAGTTTTCGCAATGAAACGATTCCATAAGATGCTGTATGGCAGACATTTCACGCTCCTGACTGACCACAAGCCTCTTCTGTTGATATTCGGGTCAAAGAAAGGAATTCCAGTTTTTACGGCAAACTGATTGCAATGGTGGGCGACCATACTACTGTCGTACGAATTCAGTACACAGTACAAACCTACGCAACTAATCGATCAAGCGGATGCCCTGTCTCGTCTCATCAGTTCACACCCCAAAGGAGAATGATGATTTTGTGATTGTAGCTATCAGTTTCGAGGCAGAAGTCCAACGAATCCTGGTTGATAATGCGAGAAGATTACCAGTAACAACCGACACCATTTGTATGGAGACATCACGGAACAGAATCTTGGAGAAAGCGATGCAGTGCGTACGAACATGTTGGCCAAATGAAGCATACCTATGGAGTTGCGCCCGTTTTACCATCGACATGGATCCCTGTCAGTCGTAGACAATTGTCTGATGTTTGGAGATCGAGTGGTGGTGCCAAGGAAATTGCAGAGGCAAATATTGCAGCAGTTCGAAACGGGGCACCCTGGTACCATCCGCATGAAAGCCTTGGCACGCAGCTTTGTTTACTGGCCAGAAATGGATTCGGAAATTGAAAAATTCTGCCAACAGTGTGAATCTTGTCAACTTGCTGCGAAGGCTCCTCCCAAGTGTCAGTGGCAACCTTGGCCTAAGGCAGAGCAACCGTGGCAACGGATACACGTAGACAATGCAGGACCAATCAATGGCCAATCCTATCTCGTTTTGGTTGACTCATTCACCAAGTGGCCTGATGTGATTCCGGCAAACAATCCGACTGCACAGCACACTATCAACGAGCTGGAGAAGCTGTTCCGATATTTCGGCCTGCCAGTGGTATTAGTGACAGACAATGGAACACAATTTACCTCGAATTCTTTTCGCGAGTGGTGTAAGGAAAAGGGAATTCATCAGATGTTCTCACCACCATATCATCCGCAATCAAACGGACAGGCGGAAAGGTTCGTGGATACGTTTAAACGTGCACTCTGTAAAGCAGTGCAAAAAATGGCTTCACAGGATGCAATTCAATCTTTTCTATGCATGTATCGGAACGCTCCGAATCGAAACTCCCCTGATGGGAAAGTCCCCACAGAAGTACTATTTGGAAGAAAGATCCAGACGTTGTTTGATAATCTTTTACCAGGAAGAATAGAAAAGCACGGCAACAGTCACCAGGAGGA